TTCCTCTGACAGCTCTCATCAGCTCAGCCCCAGCAGACCACTGTGTACTACTGCACTCACACAAACAGCAGGTGGACTGAGTTACTGACTATCTGTTTAATATGTACAATATAACGTTCCTCAACAGTATCTACTGAGAGTTTCATTTTTTGTTTAGTTTTCAACTTAACCGGTTAGATTTCCTCTGACAGCTCTCATCAGCTCAGCCCCAGCAGACCACTGTGTACTACTGCACTCACACAAACAGCAGGTGGACTGAGTTACTGACTATCTGGTGAATATAGTAGTAAATTCAGCTGCTGCAGAGCCAGATATTTCCTTCAGGAGTGGGTGTGAGGAAAAAAAGAGAGAGAAAATCTGACTTGGATTCATCATGCGGACACAAACATGACTTCAAATGAATGTTAATGTTGCTCCTGATCAGATGCAGAAAAAGAAAGCAATTTTATCATGTGGTAATGTTTCATTTTTGTGTTTTCAGCTTGTTGCTCTCCCTCATAATGGAACACATTTAGTGATTGTAGTTTTAAATGAGAACTGTCAGTCTAAAAATGAAAGTTTAGACTTCCCTGTTTTTAGAACCGTGTCCTTAAAGTTACTATTTTGACGATTTTTTTTTATAAGGAATATCTATATCATACGAAATACAAGTGTAGCTATCATTAAATGATATAATTACTGCAATATCTTTGTATTTGCAGTATTTTGAGCTGGATGTATGTGACAATATTTCTGGAAAAAGAAACGCAGATATCCACATATGAGGCAGAATCCTAAATTGCTCGTGGATGTTACTTATTGGGTTCTGAGGTTGGCTTTCCTGATGTTATCACAGGATATGTAATGTGTTTGTCAGTGAGCACCACCATCAGTCATCCGAAAAATGTTTTGACAGAACAAAACAACGGCCATTTCTGGCAGTTTTTGACATGGGATCATTTTTGAAATATTGCAGTGTTACAGTGAGGAGCAGCTACAGTGAGCTGTAAGAGGAAGAGCTGCAGCGCGGGGCTGCACACCTCCAGCTGCATAACTCATCTCACTGGTATCAGCACACTCTCATACTGTGTGCAGCTTAAAAATCAAATCCTTACAGATACAATTTGTCTTGTTTCTTTACTAAAACCGTTTCTTTAGCTGCCTCCAGATTCCGTGTTCGCCGTTGCCACCAGCAACTACAGGTGCCACCAAATCAACCAGCACTGAGTCTTAATTATTCAATCATGGAACAATAGAATAAGAACAGAGGCTGTGAAATACAGGCTCTGCATGACCACACTTTTAGAATTTCATTTGCAATGTAACTAATTGGTCTATTACCACACATTTGAAATATAATTGTCAAAACACGTTAACCTGCAAGATTTGCAACTGGCTTAACTAACCGACCCTAACCTCTTATAACTAACTTGGCCTCAGTGCCTTGAAAGTGTGGGCCTTAGACTTGTACTTGCTCTGAAGTGCACCATCTTCTGAAGGCTGCGTAATTCCTCACAAGCATTTGTAGCAGACTGTATTCAGAGTTGCAGTTCTCTGCTTCAACCAGCTGGTGTCCTCATGCCTCCATTGAAAATCTGATGCATGTGAAAATGCCAGAAACTGAACCCCCCTCCACCCTGCTTTCCTTCCACCCGGCGCCTCCATCACTGTACACTTTAGCTGCACCGCTCTGCCTTTAATTGTTTCCTGAAGAAGTTTACTAGTTTGTTCTTTTTCGGAAAGAATGGAGACGTTATTCACACAGGATAGGCCAAAAAAAAAAAACAGCGTACCCTGGGTTTCTGACAAACGTTGGGAGGTTAAAATGAGAGGTAGTGATACAGGAGCAGCAAGAGTGAGAGGACGTGGGAGTGAGAGTGGGAGGAGGAGTTGGGAGGAAATGAGTGTGGAGGAGATCTTTGGCAGGGGGAGGTGAGTCAGGTGTGTCTGTTATTGGAGAAAGAGAGATAGTTAGACTTCATTGCCTCCTTTGCAGCCCGTCCTCTTGGGATTAGTCTATAAACATTATGTGTGTGTGTGTGTGTGTGGGGGGGGTCTGCAGTGCACGTTGTTGTGTCTCACTCCACACTGACCGCTTCCTTTCATCATCCCTCCACCGACTCCACCATCAAGAGTATTTACAGATGCACGTTTCACAATTAAAACAACTCCCTCCGTCATGACCCCAAAACTAGAATTTAAAACAATTAATTACCGCTAACCCATACTGGGGTGTAATTATGAGCACGCAGCCGCCATGCTACACACACACACACACACACACACACACATTTAGTTTCTCCTCTCCTCACCTTCCCTCAACTTCCATCTAAATTTAGCTGGAGAACGAGGGGAGATATTACTGTGAAACTCCTGGGGAGAGAAATGCGCCAGGCTGGCTGTCAGTAATTAGGTTGAGCCACTTCTTGCCATTGTTAACATCCTGCTTTAATATGAGAAGGACCCCTCCCTGACCCTTTTCAGGCATCTTCATTCCTCCGTGATGTCTCTCTTTCCCACACGCCTCCCTCCGCTCCCTCATCTGCATCTCTTTCCGTTCATCATTATGGATTTGGATTTATGTTTTTTCTCTTTTTCCTCCTCCTCTTCATCTTTATCCCTTTTCCTTTTGTGACGGATCTCTTCACGCTGCTTTCATTCTCTTTTCTCTCTCTGCCCTCTCCTTGGCCTTTCACACAAACCTAATTTCATTTTTTTCCGTCATTTCACGCTCCCTCCCTCCCTCCCTCCCTCCCTCACTCCACCCGTCCATCCATGCATCCATCCATCCCCTTCACCCCTGCTCTCTCTGACAGTGCTGCCTGGTATATTTTTGGCAGTAAGGTCTCTGGGAATGAGCTTTTATGGATGGCAAGGTCACTAGCTTAATTAACAAAGGTGAGAGAGGAGTCAAAAGTTCACTTTAAAAAAAAAAAAAATTCATTCGTCCTTCCTTTGCTTTTGTCGCACGTTGCGACATGACATGACGCTGGCCATGATGGTAGAGCAAACCATAGACTGCACATGAAGATGGACGACATGACAACCTTCCAAAAGTGAAACTAAAGCGTCCTGATCATGATTTGGTGGCTGGCTGCACTATAGCTCATAAATCCTACCTCCTCCATGTTAGTGAATAGGACATGGGCCAAACTAACTAAGAGTCAAGCATCTGTCAAATCTATCAAAGATGGTTTTAGCTTGTTCTTAGTACAGTTTGTTAATGTTGTGATTCATTTGGCTTTAATTGATTTGATGCGATAAAACAGGGTGAAACTGTGTATCCACAGGATCCCGCTACAGCTCTTATTTCTTTAAACTATGAAGTTGTTGTTGAACAACAGCAGCCTTGCTCTGAGATTACCGTAGCTCCATCCCCTGTTCGCTACAGTGAAGCTGAGACGCGTCGTCCATCTTTACGCACAGTCTATGGAGCAAACTTAGTGTATCGTACGTGGCCATCGCCACAAGCCTTCATATTGTGCACTGGACTGCAGAGAATCAACATGCTGGTCGAACCCCGTAGAAGAGCAACGGAGAAAAAAAAAGAGACATGTCCGTTTTTTTAATACTTTGCAATGATAATGACATTATACACATGAATAATGCAATGTCTGAAACTATCCCCTTTTTCTCTCTTTTTTTTGTATAACCCAGTGATTCTCACGTCGCCGCAGAGGCATAATGTACTGTCTCCAGTCACTCTGCTGCGAGAGCATTATAATCTCAGATGTTCTTGGCTTTTTCCAACTTCTATAAAGACATTTCTCTGTTATATTTGCCACATCATGTTTTGAATACTGATCCGATGGCAGCTCCATTCTCTCCCGGCCTCTTTAGAAGTGATAATGTTGAGGTTTGATTTTCTTTTTCTGCCCTTTCTGTCTCTTTTCACATTGACAATGACCCAGTACTTTAATTGCCATTGTCAAGGGAGACAGTAAAGAGGGTCATGAAGCCTCCAGTGCAACATCTTCCTTATTTGGATGCCTCCTCTCGAGCTGCTGGGGGAAAACATGGGGGTAATGAGACGATACACACACAGAAAATTCCCTCTCAACCCAACAAGCACTTCCTGTGCTTTACCCAAATCCCACCACAGTGTACACGTCTCTTTTAAAAGATTTGTGAGGTTTGTTTTGGGCTCATAGATTTGTTTTATGATGTCTCCTAACACTTCTAACATGTTATTCTTGGGATGGGCTCAATTGAATTTCGGTTTATATCTTATTTATTACCTTCGCCCACACCAAGCATTTTTTTCAGGTTGTCCCTCCATCCTTTCTATTCTTGTGAACACAGTATCTCAAGAATGCCTTGAGGGAATTTCTTCCATTTTGCTACAAACATTCTGTTGGACTAATTAGATTTTGGACGTCAAAGGTGAAGGCCGCTGTGACATCACCAACCACATTTTTTTTGGACTCTAGAATTTGTAGGTCAAAGGTTACTTGGATTTTTCTACACACATTGTTGGTCTTGCTCAACAACTGAGCAACACAGTGAGGGAATTTCTTGAAATGTAGCTAACATTCAATTTTGTCTTAAAGATAAACTGATTCGATTTTGTTGTTCGAAGGTCAAGGTCTCTGGGACCTCGTGTGCTTGTGAACGTTCTCGGAAACACCCATTGGGACAAAGATGCACTTGGACTCAACGATGACCTGGTTAGAATTTGAAGGTCAATTCTAGTTTATATTTATGTCAGAGAACACTTCAATACAAGTGGGTACTCGTTTGCTGTTTGTGTTCCTGCAGCAGTTTCTTGATTCAAATGCTTTTTTGTCCAAAAGCTCTGTGCCATTTGTCAACATTATTGTTTGAAAGGAAACAGGGAAGCTATTTCTGCGAGTGAATTTAACGCCGTATTGATGGGTTATGGCTCTCGTTTGAGGATGTCTGTCAGTGGTGTTTCAAATTGAAAGCGATCATAGCCGACGGTGATACAACTCAGAATTACACGACTATTGATGCAAGCCCTGTGCTGGAAAACAGTAATTGTGGGTCTACAGATGCAGAAAATGGGAATAAGCAACAATTCAATAACATTATTAGCATGCATGAATCTGTGTTTGCGCGTGTTTGTCGTGCTCTCATTTATCTTGGTGTGTTTGTCTGTTTCAGGAGATGTACTCCAAAGGTATGATCCTGGCCAGTGCCATCAGACATGTACGAGGACTGGGCGACAACAAGTTTGAGGTCATCACTGCCCTTCGGACCTTCACATTCAGGGCAGAAAGAGAAGGTACAACAAGTGCATCTTTTCTTTTTTTCTGTCCTCTATTTTTCAGTCATCTGTCAGCTGCTTTTCCTGCTTGTCAGTCTACCTCAGTCGCTCTGACTCTCTGATTCCCTGTCTGGCCTTGTTTTTCTCTCATTCCCCCGCTCTGTTCTTTCCCTCTCCCCCTTCCTCTCTGTTTGTCTCTCTCATTCTTCACTCGCTCTCTCTAAATGCCTCTCTAGTAATCGTCTTTTCTCACCTCTTTCTTGTCTCTGTTTCTCCTCATGGTTTTCTCTGTCCCTGCTACTCTCCTGTAAGAAGCACGGCAGTTTGATTGGTGGATTTACATCACTTCACAAAATAGTTCTGCAAAGTATCTCTGTATAATTACAAAATACTGTATTTTAAGAATATATGTCAATCTCATATTTGTTTGAAGTGTGGATGTGTAGCGGGAAACGGTTTGCCTGCTCTTATGCGTTTAACCTTTAGTGAACAAACTAATAACAAAGGAAAATTTGACCTTTCGGAAAAAACATTTACTTGCTATATTTCCAAGAAAAGGTTAATATCACTCTTTAATATGGGTCAAAATCAGAATACCAGTAAATGTACTGCTCAATGATGAATATTTTTGTGTATTGTGTATGATGTCTTATTATAATGTTGTTTTGCAATGGAGACTACACGTTTTAGGTAGTTCTTAAACATGGAGGAAGACTGGACTGATGGCCTTGATGAGAGGGTAAAGCAATACTCTCAACTCCCCACCTCCTGCCTGCTTGATGGCAGTCTATTAGGCAGCTGAGATCAAACTGCTCATTTACTAATCGAGGGTCATTTTCCGGGGTCAGATACTGGCCGCCCTTTGAGTTATGTGAAGAAGTGACATTGGAGAAAATTGAGTTTTGCATGATTATTGAGGTTTTGGCTCATTGTGCGGTTCAGTGAGAATATTTGAGAACAGATTGAACTCAAAGATCTTCTATCGACGAGATCATTGAGACCTCAGTGCAAGTTATTGAGGTATTGACATATACTGGGCTAGGAATAGAATCATCAATATTTGGCCTTCTCATCACTGGCATCATCATCTCCATAAATCCAGCCGCTTGTGTTGTCGTCAGTGCTCAGTTAGACTTTGCTGTGATACTTTGATTGTTCTTGGTCAAGCTCAGTGTAAACTAAGCGTAAAACTAAAATCAAAAGCCCTTTGATTGTGCCACTCAAGGGCTTTCATGGGTAATTAATGTAATGAAGACGCCTGCTCTCTAAATTATATATTAGAATGCTACGATTATTTGTTAAAATTGGAAACACAAAGAAAGGTGGATGTAATCAGCCGTGCCCCAGAAATAATATGGGTAAAAAGACTTATCGTGACTGTAATTGAAGTGGAACTTTCACATCTTCCCATATAGTTTTCAGACCATACACTTGAGTTACTTGGGTCATTTGAGCTCATAATGTGTGACAGATTTTGATTATTAGTTTTTTTATTTACCTGATTGTCTCTGTGTGTATTTCTGCAGTGAAGACATTAGGAGACACAAGAAAGAACTCAACTAAAAACACTTACAAGGCTAAAGGTCGTTTCAGAAGCAAATCGGGAATGGCACAACTGTTCTCAGGAACCCATTCCTTTTAATGGCCTCGCATGGAGCAAGGATGCCTTTTCACTGCGGCGAGCACAACACACGTGGCCAACACACACACAGCGAATGCCAACAAACACTCACACGTCCAATAGAATAGAAGCTTCTAGCCAGCTTCAGAGTTTACAGTGGAGGAAAAGCTGATACTGTGCGTGTCTGAGTTCCCCTGAATTATATGGCAAGGGTTTACGTGTATATCTAGACCTTAGGAGGAAAGGCGAATCATGGAATCACATTTTAAGTCAAGTAGGAATATTAGGTGTCAGGTAGCTTTTTGGCTGTAGAGATAATGTACTATCTACAAATAACCCATACTGCAGCACTGAAAAAACCATTGTCACACCCTTTCCATTAAAAACAGATGTCTATTGTGATGAATTAATATTTACTTACCTTGTCAAAAATATGAGACTAACCCTAACCCTTCCTCTTAAGAGTGATGTTAAGTGTTGTTTCTGCTTATTCAGTTTAGGGGAAGAGAAAAAAAATGCTGAGGCGCTGAGTAAAAGTCACGGAAAACTTTTGCAACTCTTCAAAAACAGATTTGTCGTACATTTTTAAAAAAAAACTCATCAAATCAGCTCCAACCAGTCTGGCCATTCTCCTCTGACCTCTATCATCAATAAGACGTTTCCATCCACAGAACTGCCACTCACAGTTTTTTTTCTTTCTTTTTGCACCACTTTTAATCTCAACTGTTTTTAGTGAAAACCCCAGATCATCACTTTCAGAAAAACTCAAAATCAGCCCAGCTGGCCTCTGTCAAAGTCACAGAGATCACATTTTCCCCCCGTTCTAGTGCTTGATGTGAACGTTAACTGAAGCCCCTCCTTTACCTACAGGACTCTGCTCTCACGTGATTAGTTAATTGGCTAATTGCATGAATAAGCAGGTGTACAGGTGTTTCCTGTATGAAGAAGAAATGCATAACAGTTGTAGCTTGATTAAATTGATCTCTTTATTAATATACTTCGTCCTGCTAAAGTGATGCGTTTGAGCTCCACTTCATCACATCTACTTCATAAAAAAAGCAATGTAGCTTACAACTTCTAACTTTTTTCTTTTATCATCATCGCTTTAACCTTCCTCCTGATTCCCGACGATTTAGAGCATCATCATATCGATGACTGCCTCAGTTTTTTCTTTTTTACTTTCTTGGTCCATTTATGAGTCGTGGCTCCTCAGCAGTGTCATTCATCACTCTGTCCGCTCTTTGATCGCCATACGTCACGCTCAGCCATCTTGACAAGACACTGGGAGGACTGTCTGATTTGGTGGTGGCCTCTGACCGCCCGGGATCAGTGGGGAGCCTCACGTGGAGGTGGCTGCCTGCCGTCAGGATAAAGGGGGCTGGGAAAGGAAAGAGAGGAGAGATAGAGCAAGAGAGAGAAAGAAAGAAAGAAAGAAAGCAAGCAGGAGAAAAGTTGGCCTCATCACCTCATGCATCTTTAAACAGGCCCACTTGCCTTGTGGCGGAGAGTCATCAATCTTGGGGAAAACACATGAGAGAGAAAAAGACATGAGGAGACAGGGAAAGAGAAGGAGTAGGTTAGTGAAGTGGAGTTAAGGAGCTGCAGGGCTGCTGCAGTAGCGGTAGGTGTTTGTGATGGGGTGGTGGGTCAGGAGAGTGTGGGAGAGTGCTAAAGGGCGTCCAGGGAGGTTCGAAGAGGAGGGGACAGGAGCAACACGGGAAGAAGGGGATTAAGCGAGGGAATAACAGGAATGACGGAGCGAGACGGGCAGACACGCGAGCTTGGTGTGAAAAAGCAACAGAGAGGTAAAGGCAGAGACGGCAGGGAGAGATGAAAAGGGCAGAGTGAAGATGGAGAGAGAAGGGAGGAGGAGGAGGGAGAAGTGAGTGAATAATTGAAGGCCACCGGAGAGAGTGTGCACACAGCTGTCGGCCGATTCTCCACTTGGTCCGCAGGTGGCCTCTTCCCTCAGGTACTGTCAGCTCGAGAGAGGGGAGCTGGAAGGAGGAAGGAAGAAGGGAGGAGAAGAAGGGAGGGATGCGGGTGAGCAGTGGCTGAGGAGGAGGAGGAGAAGAAAGTGAAAGGCAGGGAGAGTTTGGCAGGAGGAGACGCAGAGGGGAGTGATTGAAAATGGTCAGGACAAGGAGAGGGAGTGTTGGTGAGGTGAGGGATGCAGATAAACACGCGACAAGAGAGAAGATGAGATTTATTGTGTGTGTGGGGGGGAATGTTGATGATTTGTATTCTGATGCTTTTGCACTCGCTTTTCCACAAGCCTGCTCGGAACACATGTCGGGTTTGTTTGAGATGACAGGAAACAGATTTAGAGAAAGAAGCAGTAAGGAAGGAAAACAAAATGGTTGGGAAGATGCCAGAATGAAAATGCTGACAAAAATATAAAGTCAGGAGGACACAGAGTGGGAGTTGTATAAACTGCAGCACATATTCCACTTGGCATCGTTTCTCATTTTACTCCCCGGTGACGTGTTGTTGTCTTGTTTAAATATGCATTAAGGGATTATTTTGGCCACTTGGGGGCAGCAAAACAAGCTGTTAGTAGGACCTTCAGACGTTGTTGTTGCTAACATGTTAGCAAACAATTTCCTTTTAAGGGCCCAACAGTCTCATAATAAGCAATCATGGAACATTCACACTTCGAAAAATTTAGTAGTGGATACCGATACCATGAAATTACGACGATTCTCAATAACCAATTTGATACCACGGCAAAATACAAAACAATAAATATGTGACTTTCGTCATCAACTTGGTATAGAAGTATCAGTTCCTATGACTTTCCTAGTTGTGGCTTAGATGTTAGCAAATGTTTGCTTATTTACCTGTGATTATAATTAATTTTGGAGTTATCACTTTATCTTCGTATCATTAATATTTACACATGGACTAGCACCTGAGATGTTTGCTGGCTTCACGTCTGGGCTCTGGCCTTGCCCCACATGGACATTCACAGAATTGTTCCTAAGCCACTCCTGCATCGTCTTGACTTTGTGTTTATGGTGATTGTCCTGGTGGATGGCGAACCAATCAACCTTTAGCCTCTGGATCCCCCCCCCCCCCTTAACCCTGACCAGTCTGCCTTTCCCTGATGCTAAAACAATCCACAGTGTATAGCTGCTACAACAGTTAGGATTGTATTGGACAGGTGGTGAGAGATACTAGGGTTCGTGCAGACATGAAACAGAATGATGAACAATCTTTTTTATTAGACCAGAGAGTCATGGTGTCTTGGTCTGAGAGTCGTCAAGGTGCTTTCCATGTGTCATTCACTGAGGTGAGACTCCTGTCTGGACACTCTCGCCATAAAGCCTCCATCTGTGGAGCATTGCAGTATCTTTGGAGATCAGCCAGAGGGAACCATTAGTTTCTTGCTCACCTCTTACCCTAAAGCCCTTCTCCCCTGTTTGCTTATTTGGCCTGGACTGCCCTCTCCAGGAAGAGACCTGGCTGTTCCAAACTAATTCAATTTCAGAAATTCGAAGGTCATGGTGCTTTCGGGATTATTTCAGTGCAGCAGAATATTTTCTTCCCAAATCTGTGCTGCATCTCCGAACTCTGCAGGCAGATTTTTCCACAGCAGGGCATGTTTTCTTCTGTCACACTTTACATAGACACATGTAAGCCCTATATGACCAGTCAGTTTAATTTACCACAGGTGGAATCCAACCACAATGTAGAAACATCTCAGGGAGAATCAATAAATACGAAAAGGATGTGAATTCTTATTTAAATGTGATATTTCAGGTTTTCTTTTTTGAGGATGGACAATTAATTTAAACAAGCATATACCTGCATCATAATCAGATATTTAAATGTGAGGTGGTCAGGATACTTTATGTACTAAATGCACTCACCGCTCACACACTGTACATGCAAGTGCTCATATCTGCGATAACTGTGATTCTCTTGTCCCTGCCAACACTGTTGGCAATATGGCAAAATGACATGACAAACACATGTAGATTAAATATTGAAGGCCAATGTAAACATTTTATTCCACGTTCTGCTTGTGTTGGCATGAGATGATTGAAACAAAGGAAAACAGAGCAAATGGGCAGATTCCCTCTCTGTGATTTCTTTTTTTTTTCATTTTCATTCCTGTTGATGGATTGTGTGGGCGGATTCTAAGATCTCTGCTGAGTGGACCTCATTCACTTTCAACGAGGACTACCTGCCTCTCGCCTCATCTCTCTTTATGTAGAGTGGAATAGTCGTTCAAATGCATGTTTATACATATAACCGTTAACAAGCGAGGTTTGGCTGGTGGACTCTGGTGGCTGAGGGTATATATTCTTTTATATCCAGGCAGAAGTGAGGACATGTTTGCATGTTGGCATGCTGCAGAGAAATAATTTTGGCAAGCATGCTGAGAGAAATGTTTACATGCAAGAAATGAACATACGCAAAAATATACAGGCACATGAGTCAGATGCCCACATGCAATGACTCCGGCGTATACGGGCATAGCACTGTCTCCGCTCTTTTGTCTCAAGTTTCTCTCAGTCCTCCCACCGCCTCCCTCGCTCTAGCCTTCCCTCCGCTCGCTCAGATTGACAGATCGGGCGAAAAGGATGGAGAGAGAGAGAGGAAGGAGGCCCTGAATAAATGAACAGGCAAATAAGTGAGCACAGGACAGGTAATGGAACTCAGAAAGCAGGGTGGGAACAGAACAGTAAAGCCTAGTGATGTAAAGAGCAGTCAATAATTGAGTAGGCTATTTATTATTCATGCAAGCTCTTTGTGAATTCATAAGAATCTGGGGGGG